AAGTTGAAACGCCCGCAGTGGTGTCCAAAGAAGAATGTGTCATCCTGGCATTGGTCAATGGGGTGAAGACGGCTCTCAAGCAGAGCTTCTACTCGGGCATCAGAGCGTCAAAGTAACTAATGGAACGGAAACACAATTTGTCACCCGTCCCCACATTCTCTCCCCGAAATACCGACTGTGACAGTGGAATTCTTAAGTTCATTTTCTGCCGCCCTAACTGCATTTACATGTTTACCGGCATTCAATAGCCACATATACACCTTACCAAAGCAATTTATGTCTAAACAATGCACTCTCTGCAAAGTACACTGAAGAGACAATGCACCGAGCTATACACGTGAAGCGGTCATGCTCAGTTGAGTACCTGCATCCTATGTTTTTAAAACTCCAGTATGAATAAGCCCTAGGTGATTGCTCATGCAGAGGAAAAAATAAATTCGAGCGCTCAGACGTATCGCGTCGCGCCTCTCCTACTGACTGTACAATTAACTTTTGGTAGATGGTCTGTCCAACAGGCTTGTTTCGGCATAGTACGTTGTTGTGTGTTGTTGAAATGCCACTGGACCGGATGGGCAAGAGGTACAGTGTACATGTATCTGACTTCACAAACAGTATATGTACTGGTATCTATCGACAGCAGCTTGGTGAAGGCCATGCCCAGCTACTCTCCATTCTCCTGTCTCTTCCCGACCTAGCGGAATTGTCACCGAATCACACACAGCAATGGAAGATGAAACAACTTACCGGTACAGTTTTTACAAGATACAATAGTCACAAACCATCATAGTGCAAACGCCGGCAAAAGCGCACAGTGATGCACATGGCGATGGCAGCCGACGCAGTGGAGGAGAGTAAAGAGCTGCTAACCTGTTGTGACAGTAGCACATGTACTGCTGCTCCCACTTTCCCGCTTACGCAGCAATTACTAGCAATCACCATCATCATCGAGAGTTTTAAACAGTCTTATATTCGGTGTGTCGTGGCTCGAGCGTCCTTCGAACCTAAGACCTCAAAGTGAGTGGATTCGCTTCTGCCTCATCACATCCTACAGCCCTGCAGTGTGTAAACCCATCATGGTGTATTGTTGTGTTCTGCATGTGATGCTGATGGCTATGCGGTTTGATCATGTACTTCGCGATCGACCATGATTACCCCAAGCATTTCAGCAAGGGAGTCACCAAACTGTAGGCAAGTCTTGCGTGCAATGATACAAGTATTTACACCGTGGAGTCCGTGATTGAGCGAGGTGCCAAGCTAGCAGGAAACCTAAGTGGAAGAGCTGAAGGGTGGACCACACCAAGGTTTCAGGTCAATGATTAATGTTCGTAACGTGATTTACAGCGAGTTTTTGCCGTTACGTGCGAATCTCTCACTGTGGCTAGCGTCTCACTAATCGTCGACCACTACCCACACCCAAACTACGGGACAACGACAGTAAAGAAGACAGCTATCATGTCAGAAATACTAACAAGCACCGCTGCTCTCTAGTGAGAAACACTGGGCTGCATTGTGCTGAAGGATCGCGAGCAGGAAGTATCAGCAGAAACATGTCTCCAGTCATCCTCGTCATTGCTCGTCAGCAGAAGGGTGCGCTAAGTCCTCCAAGGCATAAGTGGAAGAGCTTAAATCACGTGATCGTTTGATACTATATTGTCGCTCAGTGAAGAGGGCTGTGGCTAGTTCACAAGTACAATCAGCATCTACGAAGTTAAGTGAATTGCAAGGAGTATGAACGTATGACATGGACATGTACAGAAGAGAGTGTTGTGTAATGTACATCATAATGTGTACTGTACAGTCATGTACATGTGCGTGTAAGTATTTTGAAGTACAGTTTTCTGCTAGCCATGAGCAGCACATGCTACCGACATGCTACTACTGTATCTTTGTTGTGTGTTGTCAGTGTAAGGCTAACGCCTATCTGTCTTGCAGATCAACGTAAGGAGTAGCAATGCAATCATATTCTACCCCACACTCCCCACAGATGATTGTCCTGTACATTGGTTCATGTACAGTTTTTGTATTATGTTAATGATCGCCATATTGAATTTGTACATGTCTCCAGTAGCTTGAGAGAGTATTCAAGGAGATGATCGGGAGACAACTGTGATTTTCATCACCACCAGGATTGGAACCGGGGGACCTGCGCCTTGAGCAACGCTCTACCACTTTAGCTATGGGGTAGTCAAGAAAGCCACCTTCAGGCATCTACTTCGAAGTACATTGTACATGTATTTGTACATGTATTATTTTGTCCCTGCGCAGTGTATACTATAAGTGATTTCTGAGGTCCGTCGTGAAATTCGTGTACTACACCTGCACTGTAGCCCGCAAGTGTGCTTTGATTGGTGTATGGGATATGCACGTAATCATATATTTTGAACAATTAATACAATGGAGAGAGCTGTATTGTGCATGGTACTGTCCAAAACTAAAAGACGGAAAGGAGTCCAAGCACATATCGTTCTAGGCTCGCCAGTTGTGTAAACAATCGTGTACGTGTATTCGGTGTACATGAATACGCTTCGAAGCACGTGTGGCAACATTCCTGCTAGACAGCACACAGTCAGGCTGCGTGAAGCCACTTCCGCTCGTACCTCGTCTCTCAGGTTTTAAAGCACCGCGTATACCCGGATAGCAGCCATACTGCATTTTCATCTTACTTTCACTAGAACCTATGGAGACAAGGAAACGGGCCACAGCTGAAAAGCTTGACTTTCTGATTTAGGTGGGTTTCGAGTGAGGTTTGCGCATTTGGGACGGATGGTGGTTGCCTCGCTGTATATTTTTGGGGGTTTTCGTTAAAAATCTTCCTCAAGCTGTGTTGAGCTGTGTAACCGAGGCGAGAGGGCATAGTGTGATTTCCTGTGCAGAGCCGGTAATGGCGGTCACCGTGCCCCCGGTGACAACTATAGGAACAGACGGGTGCACTGTGTGAGTGTGACGGGAGACGTGAAGGTGTCACGTGTTACCGTACTGGTACTGACTCGGTGACTGTGAGAATGGAGAGAGAAGGAGAGAGGAGAAACCAGGCAGGCGCATAAGATAATTTGAGAGGAACGACGTAAGAGAGGCAGTGAAAGGAACAGAGTGACAAAGAAACGAAGAAAACAGGAGATAAAGAAGATGTAGAGACAGATGGCGATAAAAAAGCTGACGAGGGAGAGGTGGGGGAAGGATAGGCCAGTGGGTCCGAATAGAGGTTAGAGATGTCTGCATGTGGCCCGTCAGCGTATGATAATGTCTCCACAGAAATTGTCATTGCTACGAACCTTGCTTTGGAGTTGCCTGGGGGTGGACGCGTAATGCACTCACTAAGATCACAATCGAGGCTAGAATGGTATTCCAAGAGCAGGAAGTGTTCACTGAATCTCGACAGAACTATCGTTCAGTCTCTAGGGGAAATTGCTTTGCACACAGATCTCGTGAAGTGTCGCTACTCCCGAATGGTCCATTCCTACTTACTTACTTATTCACTGAACCCCTACCTGCTGATCAAACATTGTGGAACCAGTACAAGGATGCACTGCACACTGCGCTGTGCTGTAGACAGGTGGATAGCAAAGTGCCTGAATTGATAGAGTGTACTTGTTCGAATATCTCGAGCTTGATTGTAACCACGCGTGAGATACACTAGTCTCGCAAAGGGCATTCAGTGATACTTCCAAGTGTTAGAGTATGGGAGTGGATGTACATGTATAGTATTATTGTACTGATCTCCTGGCCTCTCTCACGTGTGGATAGGTGTACTGTATAGTTATTCCAAACTAACTAACTTCTGGTATGTTTGCATCGCTCCTGTCAGGTTCTCTGTCACTGGAGAGACATGTGCGATTGCGGAAGACAAGTCAGCTAAAACTTCCAAGGCGTGACCATCTTGCTTGGCGCGAATTTAGTTTTTGGCACGCCTCTCCAGCGTAGTGTGTTCGCTAAAACTTACTATTGTATTCACCTGCAGTGTTATTACTGGTGTTAGATTGTTCAGTGAGTCCTGCCGTGGCTAGGGGTGGAACGTCTGGTCTCTATCACTGACTTATCAGCTCGTCGCATCGCTTGTAGGCTTTCGTCCAGCTGACATCGTGCCTGTCTCCGCTCCAAGTAATCTATCACGCTTCTTGAGCGTTGCTTCCCTCGCCGTGGCGCACAGTGGTGTTGCATTACCGAACGCTCATAGATTGGTGTACACCCCCGTACGTCAGCCAATGCATACACACATGTACACGCTTGATCATGATCACCATGTACATTATGTGGTCAGTATGAGCAGGGGAAAGTGTCACTAGCACATTGCGACACGATTTCGAAGTACTTGAAGTAACAAAAGTCCAATTTTCTTCGACATCTCACAATCCTGGGTGCGCTGTACGTACATTCCACATGCATTTAGCTATCCAACTACTGTGACTATTTTACTAGCAGACCTCAGCACGTGTATAGCACAGAGAGATATGCTTGGAACGTGTCTTCGGCTTGCGATAACTTGTCTTTGTCACGTTACTGTGCCGAGCAGGCAAGTAGTTTCTCTCAAGCCGGCCTTGTAGGTTGTCGTTTGCGCTTCCAATTCTTGATGGCAGACACGACGCAGAGGCGGTCGCATCCATTGTTGCGTTCTGTGCCCCCGTTGACACGCCAACAAAAACATGGCGTCCAGTTCAACTGTCACGAAGTGCTATTAATTAACCGCACTGAGAGGGACAGCTAGAGAAAGGAAACATATGAAGTGAGAGAGAGTGCGTGCGTGCGTGTGTGTGCGTGAGTGTGTGTGTTTGTGTGTACTTAGCGTTACTCGTGCCTGAGCATCACCCCTAGGCCCTGTGGCACAGTACTCAGAGCCACCCAAGCCTGAAGTTAACTGAATTTTCGAACATTCTACATGATGCGCGCACACATTCATATCTCTCGACGGAGTTCCTGAGAATGCAGCGGGTACAGCTGGGTATCTCGAGAGACAGTCGCTGCCAGAGTGCGATGGCCATAAGTGGCATAACGGTCAACTTGGGGATATGGGAGCGGAAACTGACAGGCTTGGCCCGAGCCTGAGCTGCTGGACTAGGCAATCTTCGCTGCGTGACACGCTTCTATACCTTGTCTGTCTGTCTCTTCGCGGCAAGAACGAGATGAAAACCGAAACATGCGTTTAAAACGGGCAGCAGCATATTCCAGTCCCGGCAGACAGTCCAGTCCAACACAGTAGAAATGAGAAGAGTTCCTCGTGACTAAAGACCACGGCTGATTGTGCGCGTGTCGACGTGTAACTCTAGAGTTTTCAGTTTTAACCGTAACAGCACTGGCAAGCTGAGCCAGGACGGATGTGTCCAGGCTCCAGACCTCCTGTGCACATGTCACTGCTGTGCTCCATTCACGCATACTGACTGTGTACGGAAACGTTCAGCTGTTCTAGCTAGCATGGTCGAGGTGCGTGTCGTGCAGTTATCCTCTCTTTCAGTTCTGCCTCACAACTTTCCCTCTTCTATCCCCGGTAGTCGTGGACCTGGTGGGCCTCCTTGCACCCTAGTGGCACGCACACTAGCAACCCGGTTAAAAGGCGAAGCCACCTTGGCACCATCGTCCAATTCTGCTCAGAGCTGCTCTGTGGAGTGTTTCCTGAGCACGTCCTACAAATTTACAAGCAACTAGTTCGAGTAGAGCTAACATTGCAATGCTGTAGAAGTGTGAAGCAAGCCCACGGGGTTTTGACGTTACCGCTGCACATTGCCACAGCGCACCTAGCTAAGGACGACTGCCCCGAGGTTAATATGCTTGTTCGCACAGCGGTCACTCTGATGCTTCGAATAGCTATGCAAGGACCACGGGCACTGCATATCTGACGACACCTCTGCCCTGAAACGTACTTAAGGCTATTGGCAATCGCGTAGTTTTCCCGATCATTGGCCTCTCGTGAATTCCTTTCAGTACCATCTATACAACCGATATAGCCGATACAACGTCACTTGATTCAATGGGACACAGAGTGGAAGAATCGCAAGTTTCCGCTCAGCGCTTTCTCGAAATGTGCTAATTCTATCACAGAGCGATCAAAGGGAGTTCGTAGCAGCATTCCTTCTCCACAAGTCACCAGTCAAGTCTTGACATCAACAGGTTAAGACACTCAGCAAATAACTATATCAGATCACTAGCTGAAGTCGAGGTAGACCTTGTACTGCATTCAGTGGTTATTATCAACTGTTGCTCGTCCTCTCTAACTTCAATTTCGACGTCTTGAAGGAACCACGAAGCTCCACCAAGGTTCCCGTCTACCCAATCCTTGGACAATATATCACACGTTAGCACAGCTACGCTACGGAGTAGAGAAATCTCTTTTCAACCAGTGGAGGACTAGTGTGAAGTCGCAGTGGACGCCTAGTCGTACCTCATGGCCACTGGACACATACTGGAAATGGTGCGTACCTCATTAATCCACGTGTTTGGTATTGTGCGTGTGTTTGTTTATGCGTGTGCGCACATGTTTGGGCGTCTTACAATAATTATAGCTAATACCTTGTGTTGTGCAAGGATGGACTCAGATGGAGAGCCAAGGATTAACTTATCGCAAAGAAAGGGACCAAAAAACTACATAAAATTTGTATTGTATTGTATTGTATTATTTTGCTTGGGCATTTCCGGGATACCCTAAGATCTTCTTACAGGATGCCCAAGGTGAATGACGTACTGTATGTGTTAGATTCCTTGGGGAATGAATTGGGGAGATTCTTTGTTGGAAGGGATGTGAGTGCAGAGTTTGGATCGGCCAAGAGCGCAATGTGGTGGTGTGGTGTTACTGGTGTATTGGATTCGAGAAGTGCGTTAAATGGGTCAGTACCAAGACCTATGACATACACATTGTGATGAAAGTCCTAAAGGAGATTGGAAGTACAGATGTTTAAATCTTGAATTGTGTATCTTGCCACCTTGTGCTGGAGGAATTAGAAGACTGGCTTACATATATGTTCCCATTGCTACTGTACACACCACCGTCCTTGAGCGCATACTTGTGTACTGTTCAGACCAAGAGTTGAAATGTGTCGCTCCTACTTGCCTTCCACCAAACCCCGCTCCACGTACAAGTACATGTAGAAAACAAAATTATCTTGAGACAAGTGCTTTCGCTATCGTTTTGCAGCGTTTCTAGCGTTTTGAAATGCATCGGACACTGCACACGGGTCCGTGTAGAAAATTATCATGTTCATAGTTGACACGGAACATAGGAAGCTGAGCAACTTCCGCTTCTTGTTTGTGATGGACGTGTTGAACTTGTGCATGAGCACACTAGACGAAGTCGTGATGGTGCTACAGGTGTTCAGCACTAGAGGTACATGCATAGTGTGAGATGAACGCAGTTAGTACCGCAAGCCAGGACGTGTACCGAATCATGCGGCAATCATCGTTGCGATGTGCTTGACAGCACACCACAGCATGCGTACGGTCACAACGGAACACTCGACTGGCTGTTAATCGCGCCTCGCTTTGCATATTCCCCCGGTCGATGGCCACAGACCTTATTGACAGTATGGATATACACACATGTACGGTGATTTACACGATCACACTTATTACGGGCCTGACGAATTCGGCATGGCGGATGCATGCGCCATTGAGGGTTCGTGTCATGTGACTTTTAGCCTTCACAGGAAGACCTGACTGTAACGTGTTGCGTAGAATGCTTCAATTAATTAAAGACGCCAGGCCAGGTTTCTGTCTAGTATGTGATATCTCATGCCTCAATGAGAACATTGTGTATATAGTGGTTTTAAATCGTTGTCTTGCGAGTAAATGTGTTTAGAAAGTGTGATCATAGCTGGCATATGGATAATGGGACCAACACCATGTGACCGTCATTGAGTGGAGTTGGAACCAACAGGGGTGCCTTGTATGGTCATGGTATACTTGTGCAACAACTCGTTCTGGCGAACTCTTTGAAGATCTTGAGCAGGTATTTATATCCATGCATTGATGCCACAGACAAGTTACTCTTCCCAGGCTGGCTTCGTGCTGCCGGCTCATGGGCGCAACCCCTAAGATTTCCTTCACTACTTATTATTCATTGCTCTTACCCTCAACGATGTTGTCTATGTGTACTGTTTCTGTTTGATTCACACCTACAGTTGACTAGAGCTCAGCCTACCGATAATCAGGTATCCGCTATGCAGGGTACGGATCGCCTACAGCGGTTTCTCTCGCTACCGCAGACCAACACCACACCACCAGACTGTCGACGATCGCAGACACTGAGCAGAAACGGTGTTCCGCGCCGTGGCTCTGCAGGCAATGGCAGTACAGTGACTGACGAATACCCGCATAGACGATACAGCGCGCCTGTGCCCTCGACTAAAACCGACGATACTCCTATTGTGCTGACCAACTGGCACGTACTGTTCACCACCACACCTCCCGATCCATCTGAGTTCAATCTGATCTTCAACAATCACAATCTCATTGCGGATGATAAGCTGTCGTTGTTATCTCCTCCCCAGTCGCCACAGCCAACGCCCAGCCGCACACTAAGCTCGTCTCTGGCGTCGCCCACAACACCCGCCGGCAACAATACATCATTGCCAGAGGACAGCAGGGCGTACCGTTCACCCAGTGATACTCACTCCAGTGGTGATATCCACGTGGAGATCGTCAGGCTCCCCTCCACGTTGTCTCACAGCTCTCACCAGAGCCATTACCAGCCACAGCAGCAGCAGCAGCAGCAGCAACAACAGCAGCAGCAGCAACGGCAGTCCTACCCTCCAAAGCACGCCTCCCTGGGCCGAAACCACAAACGTCCCACTCATCATTACGGCAACAACATGTCGCAAACACAGCGTGGCCATCCCGCATATCATGCTAACCTGAACGGTTATAACCAGCACATGGCATCGCATCATACACGGCCGATTCCCGATAGTCTGGGAAGTCTACGAATCAGCAGTGACCGACACAGGAGGCCCCCAGTCAGTGCCAAACCGCGGAGATTGCACGTCCCTGAGAATCCACGTCTTATCAATTACGGAGTTGTATGATACTGCATTCAACTGAATGCCAGTGGTCATGGTGACCATGCTGTCTGGTGACGTACTGCCCCTACTGTGGCAATGCCTTGACCCATCTTCTACATGATTTGCATTTGCTGCAGTATCCAGACAGGACTGGACTTTGATTTCACTATTGTTATTGTGTGAGCTTGAGGTGTGGCGTGCGACGTGCACATTGCGTATTGTGAGTTGCTTGGAACGACCTATAACTAAAGAGATTAAAATATGACGTGATTATCTTATAATGAGTCATTCATCTTGACGTTCATTCTTTGTGTGTTCACCATATTGTACGTGTCTTCCATGTTTGCTCTTTATCCAAGATCAACCGGACGCGTTACTGTATCTATTGAAAGTTTGAAAGTTAGTTCTATTATATTCACGGATTCCCAACAAGGCGTCTCGCCCGCCGAGGGGTCTCCATGAGCGGAAGTGTTTTGAGAGATGAGCATGGAAGGGTAAGGTATTGCATTCCCACGAGGTTCAGAACAAAAGAAAGAGGATATTCTGCTGGAAAGGATGTCCTATGCTGGGAAAACTGTGTAGCGAGAGGCAAACAGAAAAAATGGTTCGTGGTGATGGGGAAAATCAAAAGATAAAGATAGAAATGAAACGAGAAAAATAAAAGACAATCAAAGATAATTTTGACTGGGTAGTGGAAGTATTGAGCCTAGAGGAAAATCCATGGTCCGTTAGCGATTTCTGGCTCCAAAGTGAACTAAGCGTTCATGCACTGCTGAGCAGCCTTGAGCCAGGGGCCTGGGAAAGACGAGACTAGCCAGATAACAGTGGTTAGAGTCAGTGGGGATTTCAGGCTAAATGCTATACTATACTTCACCGGAAATGAACATTGTTATTGACGAAAACATTAATTGGAAACATGGAAAACGATGGGGCACAAGTTATGTGTTCATTCCTTGGTGCTGACCGCTTTAATGCGCTTCCCGAATCCCTTCGCACAAATCATATCCCCAATTCATTTCGCCAGGAACTTAACAATTTCATTCATCTTGGGCACCCTGTAAGAAGACCTTAGGGTCTGTTGGGAATGCCCAAGTAAAATAATAAAATACAATACAATACAAACGTGTTAGAGTGCACCAGCTAAACCAGATTTTGAAGAGACAGACGTGCACAAGGTAGCACCAGACTGACAAGGTATGCTGAGACATTCCACGGCAAGGAAGTGAGCTTGAGCACTGCTCGACAGCGCTAACCAACGGCCTTCCAACTGGGAAGTTTCATGGATATTAGTGATAATTCCAAAAAAAGAACATGTTTCCATTTAATATTTTCCTTGGCTCACCATTCGAGTACTTATTGACGAAAACTACAGTTTTGCACGAATTGGGTGGGTCTAAGTGTTTCGAACTAAGTTGCGGCCAGAGCCTCCGGGTGCTACGGACCTGTACTGCTGTAGTGGCGTTGGAAATCGGCAGTTGCAAGTTGAAGCAGGCCTGCCCTCCGATACGGCTGTGACTGAGCTATAGCATCGAGGACACTTCAGACGTGAGGGTGAGTTTCGATTGGACTTCAAACTGTAGAAAGGAAAGGGACACATAGAATCATAGATACGAATTAAGAGTAACAGTCCACCACTGTAACTATTATACAGTCAGAAGGTGGAACAAATAGGCACAAAACTTTATTTTGCCCGTAAAAGAGGCCGTTACCCCGTAAAAAAAATGAGGTGAGAGACAAAGCAAAAGGCAACCCAAATTAGGCAATGATTGGAACACGCAATCCAGTGAAGTGAGAAGTGCAAGGGTATTAATATTAGGATGCAATGCACATACTTTTCGACTGCCCAGGAAGAGTACAAAGCCGTCACTCTGCAGCTCTTCAGTCGTCTTCCTCCGTCAGTCAAGCTGTAGCCGACTCTCCCTACAATATTGCACGACTCTTGCAGTTGGAGAAACTGTTATGAAGTTTCGAACACAGACTTGAAACACAATACATGTACATGATGAATTCATACTATTTTTAAAGTATTATGTAAACTCTCATTACACTGGTATGCGGTATTACCTTCCACATAGTCACTAGTCTAGCATGGCGTCATATATTTATTTCAATTCAGTGTTTTCCGAAGAATTAAAAAAAAAAAGAAGAAGAAGTTATTACAGTCTACGTACGGAGACGTACACAGTGGAACCTGAGAAATGCGGACTCCCGCCAGACTGTCGAAACGTGTCCTCCATGTACAAATTTATTCATTACAAAGCACGAAGAAGTGTAAAAACAACAGAAAATGATAAGGCACCCATTTTGATAATCCAGGGGATGGCCCACGCCTGGTTACTGCCACTGCACGGTACGGGCAACAGAACATAATGAGACTCGTGAAAAAAGAAAAAGGCCCAACCCTTCCCTGCCAGTTATTTGGACTTACGGGGGTAGAAACGTGTCCTCCATCGGGAGGTTTGAATGCTCCCAGGCCGTATTTTTGACCAGTTCAAAGGCGTCGCGTCCTCAATTCTCAGGTAGATCTACATGTAGATGTAGATCCCGCAGGTCTACGTTTCAAGTTTGATTGTGCGAGTTCGGTATCTGACTTGAAGCGCAATTTCACGTCAGATTTGGCGTAAGCCTTCCACCATTTCGCAGCCCAGTGTTTGCAGGTCTAGGGCTGCGCAACGCCCGGCGTGTACTTGAGTGACGCGACTGATTGAGGAGCAGTGCCAGTAGTACTAGTACTGTAGTAGTAGACGTGCAGACTCTCTGCACGACTGCAGGGCACATGAACATAATCATTACATGTACTAGACTCTATTATGGAAACTCTGCATAGTGTCTGCTGTGCAGACATCAGCCCTTCGCGTATCGCAACTAGTGGCACGAGTTTAGCGCCCTCTCTTCACGCCATCCTGTTTCTCGCGCGAATTTTCCCTCCCAGCTTGGCGGAGTGCAGTGACAGTGTAGTGTGGTGACTGCTGTTGCTCGCAGTTCAGTTACACAGCAGGGCTAGTGCGATGTGCACTGGATTCCTTTTGCTTCTTCAACCGATTCGTATTTCCTGTGCTCGAAAAGAAGCGTTGTGAGTGGTGTTGTCGAGGTTGCCGAATAACTAGCTATAAACCAAGCTACCCTACCGGAACATTTCTCAGCTACCACATTTATCGACGTCAGCTATGAAGTATTTGGGTTGGTGGTAGCGTGGGCGTTTTGTTCGACTTCTTAAAATTAGAAAGAAGCCCGCAATGGAATCCGCAATATTCTCCAGGTGTTTTACCAGTATAGTGCAGCCGAATTTCACCCTCTGTTCAGAGGACGTTGCCGCTGTACCAAGGTGAACCATTGTGAACGCTTTGTCCATATCTTCGGCCGTCCTCATGTCCGTGTGGAAAAGCTCAGCCAGTGAACATGGTGAAAGCATGCAGCTGAACGGGCATGAAGGAAAGGACCAGAGTTTAGTGTACGTAACAATGCATCGGCTTTGAGCCAGAATGGGCGCAGAGAAAGCAGCCTTCCTGGAAGAAGACGAAATGGAACTCCATGCGTGCGCACCTCTCAGCCAAGGCTGCCGCGCAGTATTCGTCACTGGAAGGAGGAATATCGACGCTGACCACGGAGTGTCACTGGAGGGAGGAAACGTCGACACTCACCAAGAGAAGGAAGGCATACAGGTACGTTTGGAAATTATTGGAAATATTTCAATTTTAATATAGCTACAAGGACGACTAATTGCACTGTAAGCATTTCCTATATGTCGACATGTATGTGTAAATGTTATACGATGGTCGCAAGGCACACAACGGAAGGGAGAGAGAGGATTTGTCCAGAATTGTTTTCTTGTTTCATTCATCAGTGAATCTACGCAACAATGGAATGGGGACTACTTCAATTATTATGATTTAGGCTACTTGGATACCCTGGCGCTTTGGCAATAACCCACAAACGATAACGGGTAGTTCTCAACTATCAAATAGAGGAATAGATAATTTCGTTCTGTGGACACCCACTTGCCCAACTACTGGGGTATACGGAGCAAAAAAAAAAAGAAGACGATACCCTCATATCTTATCCGGACCTCCACGTTATGGGCACCTCGGTCTACCGGGCACCCTGTGGGCGAGTTTCAGTAGAAATATTTCTACCTTTTCGCCAAGTTTTGTTGAAATACAGTGAAACCTGTCTAAGACGACCACTGCTCAATGGACCTTCAAAATGTGGTCTCTATTACCAGGTGGTCTCCTTATCAAGGGTCATTTGAGTGGAAATAGCATCCCTTGATCCTGGTTTCAGTGGTCTTCTAGGACAGGTGGTCGGCTTATCCGAGTGGTCGCCTTCACAGGGTTTACTGTAGTAATGTAATGTCCCAGATCTCTGGTGGCCCTTCCCCATCAACATGTACGTGATTCAGAGTTACGGGTGCCTTGCCAAGGTACGGCCAGTGCCCATGCCCGGTGCTAAACTGCCCCGACAAGAGAGATTTGAGTGTACGAGTACAGTCAGACGGATGTGTGCGGTTAAAACCGCACACATCCGTTTTCCGCAAAAAATATCCGGATAGGCGAGGGAACCGGATGATCGAACACACATACTGTATGTATGCATGGCATACGCTGTAAAAATTGGTAATCAACGATTTTCTGCCGGATGGCGAGGGATCCGGATAAAAGAGGACCGGATAAGCGAAGTCTGACTGTATTCAATTTTACAGTGTGTTGGAGCTGCAAAGGGGAAAAAACGTCTGATGACAAAGTTGACTGTTCCCACTAGGCCTTTGCGGATAATGCCGGCAGAAAATTGGCAGAATTCTGTACTTTTTCCGGTAAATTTCATGCATGGTTGGTATGTGGATAAAGAAATGGAGCAGAATTCGAGGAATTCCCCGCCATAAGGTTTGTATGGTTCTGCCAATTTCACTTCTTTTCGAGCAGAATCTGCCACCTTTTCGAGCATTATCCGCCAATGCCTAGTTCCCACCAGAAATGGAACGAAAGAGCGTCGCCGCCAGAGGCCAGCAATGCTCTAGACTACGCCTAAGCTATTAGCACATTGCAGTCATCCTCACACTACAGCTGACACCTTCCAACATTTCCTCTGACTTGGAAACTTTAGGTTCGCACTTCCCGAGCAACTGCGTGGGCTGGCGGGACACAGCCCTCCCTTGACCCACACATTTCACATACAGATTATTGCGCAGTCGGGGAGCCACCATGAAGTATTCATCAGTTTGACTGAGTTGAAAGGGGGAAGGAAAGTTGATGTATGCACTCAGGGAAATCTAATGTTATTCGACACATTTAATTTAAATATAGGAAAGAAAAAGGACCAAAGAGCAAAACGTTACGCTACAATGTCCACCACTAGTTACTAAACAATCAGCTCATGCGATACCATTGCACGACACTGACCGACAATACGGACGTT